ATATTTTCTTTTTAAATTAAAAAATAGATTGAGTAATAAATAGTAATTTAATTTTTAAATAGCAATTAGCTAATTATTTATTATGAATGAATTTATTACCCAACATAAAGTTTCAAATTATTTGTATTTTTCGAATTAATTATTTCATCTGATTTGAGAAATTTTTCATATTTTCTGACATTTAAAATAAATTTAATATTTTTAAATATCTTAAATAAATATATGTTATTTTACAGAAAAGCCAAAAATAAATATTGAAACTTAACTAAATTTGTTAACAGATGGGATATCTCTTCCTAAAATGAATCAGTAAGTAACGAAAATTAATCTCTATAGTATTTTAATTAAAAAATATATAATATGTTAAATAAGTAAAAGTTAATTTTAAATAAACTATTTAATAAATAATTTTGAAAATAAATAAATAAATATAAAATTTCTTTTGGAAAATTTTCAAGTTTGAAAATATGAAAAAAATAAATATTTATATCCTAACAATGATAATTAGTTAGTATCAAGTAAGTAAATAAATAGGGATTAATAAAAAATATAGCCAATAGCAATTGATTGTTATGTTTATTTTATTTAAAAATATAAATAAATAAATTAATTAATTACAAAAAATTAATTTTAAGAGTTTTTAGTTCAGCACATTTACTTAATCCTTCAAAAATACTTATTACCCCTCTATCAAAAATTTTATTTCTCATTTTAATTTAAAAGTAAATTAATTATTAATTTAAGTTCAAAAAGAAAATTTTCATAATAATAAATCATGAAAGAAATATTTAAAATAAAAAAATAAATTATTAAATTAATTCATTCTACCATATATTTAGTTTAAAGTTGACAAGCGTTTTACAATTACCCAGTGCTTAACCAATATCATAAGCTCCTTTGTCTTTAATTAAATTTTCCCTTTTAAATAGTTTGAAAAATTTAGATTACAATAAATAAATTTTAGTTTTGAATTTTAAATTTGTTTTTTGAATTATTTGGGTTACAATAATATAAACGTTAATTAATTAAGTCTAGGAATTATTAAAATAACTAAATTATTTTACGATAAGCAAAGATTTAAATTTTTAAGTTGAATGAAATTGTTTAATGCTAATGCAAAGCTTGAAGCTGCTATATCACCGATCTTGGTACGTCTTTTGAATTTAAAATTTATAAATGATGAATGAAATAAAAAAATAAGAGTTACTCAAAAGTAAAATCTAGTTTATTAAGCATTTTACAAAAACTTAATCCATTTGCAATAGCTTAAATTGCTTCATCTCCAATTTAAAAATCACTATCATATTTATTTATTTATTATATTTATTTTTGATCAAATAAAAATTTTAATTAGGCAGTCATATATTTATTAAATTTGATTATACAGTGTAATTATTCTTAAAATTATAAAAACAAATTAATATACGTAATAATAAATATCAAATCTCTAAAAAATTGAAAATTCTTATTGTTATTATAATTTAACCTTTTTTAATATATGAGGATATATGGTGTTTATCAATTTAAATCTTAAAATATTTATAATAAATAAATTAATTAATTAATTTTATTAAAATTTTTAACTTCATTATTATTAAAAAAATGATACTTTAGAGAAAACACTTTTAGTAACTAGAAGAAGTAATCATTCATTTGTTAATTAATTATTCTTTAAATTTATTTTTATTAATAAAAAAGGTTTTAAACTCTTCGCTTTCATCTTATAATCATTTATATATTGATCTTTAGTAAATAAAATTTAATATAAATTAATTTTTATATTTTAATATTTATTTATCAAATTAGTTAAATATTCACTATTTTTTATTTATTTAACTATGTTAATACTTTATTTATTAACTCATTTTTTATTTTTAATTATTGCTTTCATTTTTAATTGTCGTTTCATATTTTGTTTTCGTTTTTTACTTCAAACTAAAAATTTTATTTTCTTCAATATTCAAAAAGCCGCAAGTAAATTAATGATCAAAATGCAACAGAATTAGGTTCTGCTCTATCAAAGTGCACTAATATCTCATATTTGAAAATTACTCTTGAGTAAAAACAATTTTATTTTTGTTTTTGATATTATTATGGTTTATTACAGAAATTAGACTAAAACAAAAACTCTATTTATTTATTAGCTTTTATAAGTTTTTTTGTTTTTGGTTATATTTTTTTTAGTTTAACCCATCTTTTCAATTTAAACTCAAAACAAATACTGCAATTTTTTGAATAATATTTTATTTTGTTTGAGTTAATGCAAATAGAAATAGATTTTATCTATATCTTGCTATTTTAATATGACATCCTTTTGATAGAAATTTTAAGTATTTAGATTTTTTGCTATTTCTTTTAATTCAAATGCTTCACCATTTATTTTAACATTGTCCCTATTTATTTTGATAATAAATTTTTATTAATTTTTTTTCAATTTTTATTTTTACTGTGAAATTAACTGATTAGATTTTCTTTTAAAAAACAAATAGTCGTAATTAAATTGGAAATCAGGGTTTAGAAAGTTTGTGTTCTGCTTTAGCAAGTTTTTCCAATCTATCGAATTTGATACTTAGTCTTAAGTAAAAATAAATTTTTTGTTTTCAATCATTGTATTTTCAATAAAAAATTTTATTATTTTTTATCCAACACTAAATTATCTAATAAGTAACGATATTTATTGCATTAATTTTTAAGTATTTTACACTGATCCTTTTTATTTAGTCAATTTATTTTTTGATTGGCTTTCTATTTCTTTCATAATTTAACTGATCTTTTTAATTTTTGCTTCCATTATTAATTTCTTATTTTTCCTATTTTTTCTTTATCTTCCCCTATTATAACTAGCTAACTAATTATATTTTCATCAATAATTAAAAAGTGATAATTAAATTAGCGCAAAAGGTGCTTTAGTACTTGGTTCTGCTTTATCTAATTGCACAAATCTCTCAAATTTGAAACTTGATCTTTCGTAAAAATAATTTATTTTTTTTTGGTAGTAATATTATTAAAAATAATTTAAATAATTAAATAAATTTGTTATTTGTATTTAATTTATTTGCAGTTTGATTCTAATTTTATTTTTTCGATATTTAAATTATTTTTTTATTTTACCTTTTTCCTAATAATTAATTTCTTATAATATTAAAATTTTTTCTTTCTAACTAAATCATATGTTATATTATCTTAAATATTAAAAAAGTTGCAATTAAATTGGCGGTGAGGGTATATCAGGATTATGCTTTGCTTTAGAAAAGGGAATTAATCTATCAAATGTTAAACTGATTTTTGAGTAAAAAAATATTTTATTTGTTTTAAATTTTGATATTATAAATGTAAAATTTATTTAAATAAAAAAAATATTTTTATTCTTTAGTTTTTTGTTTTTGATTGTGATTTAAATTTTTTCAGTTTATAGATTTTTCTATCATCCATTCTTAGTTAATTTCTTTATTTTTAGTATTTTACCTATGTTTTTTCCATCTTATTAATTATAAAGAGGTAATTAAATTGGTAATGAGAGTGCATCTGCCTTAGGTTCTGCTTTAGCAAAGTGCAACAATCTCTAAAACTTAAAGCTTGATCTTCGGTAAAAAAGTTAAATTGTCTTAGATTGAGATAATTTTAAATTTAAAAATAATTTTACAACAAAAAACAACTACTTGCTAATTTATTTTATTCTATCTTTTTTTAATCCTCATTGAAAATTTTTGCTTTGTTTATAAATTAAATTAACATTTCTTTTTATTATATTTTTCTCATTCATTTTTTTGATCGTTTTTTACTTTTTAAAAAGTTCCAATTTAATTGGTTCACAAGGTGCATTAGCCTTAAGTTCTGCTTTATCAAAGTGCAAAAATCTCTCAAAGTTTTCACTTTATCTCAAGTAAAAAGTTTTTTATCTTTAACTAAAAATTATTAAAAATAAAAATTAATTAAAAATAATAAAACTCTATTTATTGTTTACATTTTTATTTAATTGATTTTTTTGTTTGTGATTATTTTTAATTATTATTTTTTTTTTTTATTATTTGCTATTTTTGTTGATTTCTTAATTTTTCATATTTTTATCTCTAAATAACTAATTACATTTTCTTCAATATTTAAAAGTGAAAATTAAATTGATGAAGTTGGTGCATCAGACATAGGTTCTTCTTTATCAAGCTACACTAAACTCACAGATTTGACACTTGATCTTGAGTAAAACAGTTTAAATGTCTTTTCATATTATATTTTTCAATATATATATTTAAAATAAAAATCTTTATTTTTTTAATCTATTAATTTTTATTTTATGGGTTTGGTGTTTAATTTTTTTATTCAATAATTTTTTAACTATTGCTTTGATAATTAATTTTTTATTAATAATAATTCTATTTTCTCTAATACATAAAAAGATGGAATTTAATTTTCGATAAAGGTGTATCAGCTTTAGGCTTAGGTTTAGCAAAGTGCAATAATCTCTAAAATTTGGAACTCTGTTTCAAGTAAAAATAGTTTATTTATAATTGGTTTTGATATTTAACAATATTAATATAAATCATAATGGTCTATTGATTTGCTTTTTTTTATTTTAATTGTGTTGTATGTATATAATTCAGTTAATATTTTTAATTTTTAACTTTATTTCGCTTATTAATTTCTTATTTATTCATATTTTATCTTTTTTTTGACAAAAAATTTTCTTCAATATATTATATAATAGATGGAGTTAAATTAGTACATAGGGTGTATACGACTTAAGTTCTGCTTTAAATAGATGTATTAAACTCTCAAATTTAACGCTTGAGCTTGGGTAAGTAGTTCATGACTTTTTAATATGATAATTTTCAATAAATATTATAAAATAATTTAAATGCATAAAACTCATTATATAATTTTTTTTTACTCAAATAATTAACTTTAACATTTTTTTATTGATTATTATAAATTTATTTCTTAATATTTATTTAAAGTTCGAATGAAATAGACGAATTAGATGAATTAAAAATAGAGAGGAAATTTCTAAAATAAAAAAAATTAGTAGACTTAAATATATCTTTTTGATTATTTTAATTATTTGTGCCATTTAAAATTTTATTTATCTATATTAAATAGCATAAAAATAAATCGTAAGTTTAAAACATATACCGTTTTCTCATATATTAAGGACATATTCAGATAAAAACTTTTGATCAAATTTAGTCCTTATAAATTGTTAATTATTTTTAAATTAAATTGATAATTACTATATAAAAAAATATAAAATTCCATAGTTATTAAATATTTTGTTCAAGTTATATTTTTTTTTTGAAATAAAAATTGTTTACAACAAATATTTTACTATTTTTGAATAATTTTAAAGAATAAAAAATATTTTATTATTAGATGATTGAAACATTTATTTTAAAATATCAAAGAATCTTTAATTCATTTAATAATTAAAGCTTACTAGAAATTTAGTTTAAATTCTAAAATATTGTTTCATTCAAATTATTTCCATTCCTAATTAAATAATTTTAATTGAAAAATATTAAAAAAATTAAATATTTATATAAAAGAATCTACCAGATAATAAGAATCAAAGAATTAAGATTTTGACACTTTTCTAAGCTCATTCCAATATGTTTTGCTCCTTCTGCACCAATTTCATTCCCCCTTCAAAAATATTATTAAAATATGTTTTTTTCTTTGTTTGAATAAGTTTTGAAAATCAAAATAAAATAAGTAAATAGATAAATGGATGGATGGGTGATGGATGATAAGTAAGTAAATAAATAAATTAATAAGTTGAAAATTAAATAATTAAATTAAAAAAGAAGATATTTGAATGAAGAAATGAATGATTGATTGAGTGAATACATTCATTCACAATCAAAAATATCTTTTGCTTAAAAAATTACTTCTTTACTTCCTTACATATTTTATAACTTCAAAAAACAGACTTAATCAAATAAATATTTAACAAAATTACGCAAGATTGATATTCAAAGAAGTTATATTTTGACACTTTTCTAAGCTCATTCCAATATGTTTTGCTCCTTCTGCACCAATGTTGTTTTCCCTTCAAAAATATTATTAAAACATGTTTTTTTGTTTGTTTGAATATGTTTTGAAAATCAAAATAAAGTTGAAAATTAAAATAAGTAAATAAGTAAATAGATAAATGGATGGATGATGATGATTAGTAAGTAAATAAATAAATAAATTAATAAGATGAAAATTAAATAATTAAATTAAAAAATAAGATATTTGAATGAAGAAATGAGTGATTGAGTGGATACATTCATTCACAATCAAAAATATATTTTGCCTATCAAATTAATCATTTATTTACTTCTTTACTTCCTTATATATTTTACAACTTCAAAAAACAAACTTAATCAAATAAATATTTAACAAAATTACACAAGGTTGAGTTTCAAAGAAGTTATATTTTGACACTTTTCTAAGCTCATTCCAATATATTTTGCTCCTTCTATTCCAATGTTGTTTAGCCTTCAAAAATATTATTAAAATATGTTTTTTTGTTTGTTTGAATTTATTTTGAAAATTAAAATAACTAAATAAGTAAATAAATAAATAAATGGATGGATGGATGATGATGATAATAAGTAAGTAAATAAATAAATAAATAAATAAATAAGTTGAAAATTAAATAATTAAATTAAAAAAGAAGATATTTGAATGAAGAAATGAATGATTGAGTGAATACATTCATTTACAATCAAAAATATCTTTTTCCTAACAAATTAATAACTTATTTATTTCTTTACTTTCTTACATATTTTACAACTTCAAAAAACAAACTTAATCAAGTAAATATTTAACAAAATTACCATAGATTGAGACTCAAAGAAGTTATATTTTGATAATTTTCTAAGCTCACTCCAATATGTTTTGCTCCTTCTGCACCAATGTTGCTTTTTCTTCAAAAATGTTATTAAAATATGTTTATTTATTAGTTGGAATTTGTTTTGAAAATCAAAATAAAATTGAAAATTAAAATTAAAATAAGCAAATAGATAAATGGATGGAAGAATGATGATGATAAGTAAATAAGTTGAAAATAATTAAATTAAAAATAAGATATTTGAATGAAGAAATTAGTGATTGAGTGAATATATTCTTTCATAATAAAAAATATCTTTTGCCTAACAAATTAATCATTTATTTACTTCTTTACTTCCTTACATATTTTACAACTTCAAAAAACAAACTTAATCAAATAAATATTTAACAAAATTACATTAAACTGAGATTCAAAGAAGTTATATTTTGACACTTTTATAAGCTCATTCCAATATGTTTTGCTCCTTCTACACCAATAATATTACATCTTTCAAAAATATTATTTATTATAATATGTTTTTTTATTAGTTTGAATTTGTTTTGAAAATCAAAATAAAATTGAAAATTAAAATAAGTAAATAAGTAAATAGATAAATGGATGGATGGATGGATGATGATGATAAGTAAGTAAGTAAATAAATAAGTTGAAAATTAAATAATTAAATTAAAAATAAGATATTTGAATGAAGAAATTAGTGATTGAGTGAATACATTCATTCATTCACAAACAAAAATATCTTTTGTCTAAAAAATTAATCACTTATTTACTTCTTTATTTCCTTACATATTTTACAACTTCAAAAAATAAACTTAACCAAATAAATATTTAAAAAAATTACGAAAGATTGAGATTCAAAGAAGTTATATTTTTACACTTTTCTAAGCTCATTCCAAAATGTTTTGCTCCTTCTGCATCAATGTTGTTTTCCCTTCAAAAATATTATTAAAATATGTTTTTTGTTTGTTTAAATTTGTTTTAAAAATTTTAATAAAATTAAAAATTAAAATAAGTAAATAAATAGATAAATGGATGGATGGATGATGATGATAAGATATATTAGATAGTCAGAG